AACAAGCCTGTCAAGAATAACATTAACGCTGACGCGCTTTCTTGTCGTCTTGATTACGATCTTTGGCGCGACATATATCATCAAACGGAGAATGTTGATGACGACGAAGATATCTGTGCGTGTTGTATTGAGTTGGGGCTAAATGCGATGATCCTAACACCCGTGCTGTCCATCCGGGCTCAGATCGCTAAATCCTACGCGAATGATTCCTTCTATGCAGGAATCATCAAGTTTCTCAGGGACCCGAGCGAAAAATTACTCGCGAAGTTGACGATACCAACACGCGACAACCTCAAGCGTTAAGCGCTTGACGGACCGTTGCTGACGTACACGATGGACGTCTTTGATTCCCCGCGTGTGGTCATCCCTGCTGATGACGACCTTCGAGTGCGGTTGGTTCATGAGTTTCACGACAGTACAGCTGCCGGACACCTGAGTCGAGAAAAGACGTTTGCGGCTATTTCTCGCGTATTTTTCTGGACGCGAATTTATAAGTACATCCAGAAGTGGGTGCGCTCCTGTGAAACCTGTCAGCGTGTGAAGCCCGCGCCGTCTTCAAAAGCCCCATTGCGTCCTCTTCCGATTGCTCCAAAATTTTGGCGCTCGGTAAGCATGAATTATATCTTTGAACTTCCACCGGATGAACAGAAACGCACGGACGTATTGGTTCTAGTGGATCAATTCAGCAAAATGGTGCATTTTGCTCCGGTCTCCACCAACATTACGGCGGAGACGACAGCGTAGATCTTCATTGATCTTATCTGTAGGCATCACGGCTGCCAGAATCTATTGTTTCGGACCGTGACCCGCGTTTCACTTCGGCTTTCTGGTCCGAATTATTCCAGATATTAAGCACGCGGTTGCTTATGTCTACGGCGGCCCATCCAGAGGAGGGTGGCCAAACGGAGCGTGTGAACAGAGTGCTCGAAGATGTTTTGCGCAGTTATGAAACATCGTTCTCGTCATGGAGTTCGTTTCTTCCACTTGCAGAGTTTGAAATCAACAGTGCTGTACATGCGTCAACCGGGTTGACGCCCTTCTTCGTTAACAACGCGAGGCATCCTCGCGTTCCGAAGCTTCTTGCTCTCTCAGCCTCAGAGCACCCTGTCTCATAGCTTAGTGGGGGAGTATCTTCCGATGGAATTGCGTCAAAACTATTGATAATTGATTACGATGAGGATAAGGTTGCTGCCAATGCACCTATTACTGGTAAGATTAAGGCCAACGGCATGTCGACTCCTGACGCGATGCTTTCCATCGCGTCTCCCGTTGCCAATTTTGCTTCAAAAGAGAATACGTCGCCTGTAAGTTCGGCTGCAGTAACCGAATTTCTAATTTTACGACAAGGAATCACGCGTTTTGTGCGTGATGCATTACAAGAGGCAGTCGATAAGCAAAAATAGAGCGCACACAGAAGAGGTCAAAAGAATATGCTGACATTTCGAAAAGGTAAAAGAGTATTATTATTAAAAAGTGGATTACCAAACACTTCGGTGACGAGTTCGGGCGCTAATAAGTTTGCGCCAAGATATATTGGCCTATTTTGGGTTTTTAAAGTGCATGGTGACGCTTAGACGCTAGATATACCTACATCTATGCGTTTGCACCCGACATTTTACGTCGAACGCCTCAAGGCCTACCTACCAGCGGATCTCCCTTCGAATTTTCCCCGCTCTTCTGTGCCGGCTTAAAATTCGACATGCCTTGACGAAAACGCTGACGACGTAGAACCAAGTCCTGCCCGAAAGCGTGCAGACTCGATCTGCTGGGTCCTCCGAACGCAGTCATCTAAAGTCGGCGTAGGCACTCAACCAATTTCTGCTGCTCCCGTCGAACTACTCAGCTGTCTCAGTTGTAGCAGTCACAAGATCGTGAACCCTCTCCTCCATACAGAGAGAATTAAGTAGGGCGTTCTTCGACTCCTCGGCTTCAGCGCAAAGTAGGCGCATCTCGTCGTTCGACTGTATAGGCGTCCGATAGTGCGAATCGGCGCTTATCGTCAGAGATATTTCGTCTGATGCTCCTCCTCCCTTAATTGATGCATCGGGTGCGCCAAGCTGGATCGCTGATCGAATTTTCGTCCACAAGGATCACAAGCCTTAGGCGCTGAGTAACGACTTGGCGCCCACGAATAACCATGCCGAGAAACATTACAGGGTTCGCTGATTAAGATATTCGACGGAGGACAATACATGGGAGCCATCGAGCACGCTGTCCCAAGATGTCCCGGACGTGGTAGAGGACTATGAGTCCCGTAGAAAGATGGTGATCGCGACCGACGCTGCCGGTTCCATCCCCGATCTCGCGAGCCGTAATGCTCGCTAGCAACGAAACCGCGACGACCTCCCGAGCGACTCCGAGACCGAGACCTATTACAAGGCTCGGGAGCATATGGATGATACGGTTTACGACCTCGGCTACGTGAATGCCGTCGGCGTTCGTTAGGATGTGCTCATACTCGCCGTAGCTCGGACACCTGGAGCTCCGAAAGGCTTCTCTCATAAAGGGCAATCCATGGACGAATATTATCGGGCATGCCTCGCGCACACACCAAGTCGTCCCATTCCTGCCGGACCGGTCGCGATCTGCCTACGTTGCACGTTGGACATCCCTCACGAGTGTGGACGTAACAAAGGTGATACTCGTCACAAGTCATGCGACAGATGCGTTGGCGTAGGTAGCCAATAGCATGTCTTTCACGCTTTCCCTCGCGACCATCGAGCCAGGACGTGAAGAAACTTCCTTCACGTCGGCTCGCGTTCCAGCGTATAATGAAGGCACACCAAGATCTCTGCAACGCATCGTCGATATATGCGTTGCTCGTCGCTTTGCCTCTCACTGTACGGTATCGCGTGACGAGGTCCTGCATGACCTCCAGTTGCTCGGGTTCGACAGAAGCTTCAAGAACTTTAAAAGCGCCACGATTTTGAGTCCCCATCCATGACCTGCGGCGCCTGATCTCTTCGTATTTCGCTTAATGTACCCATTTCTGGTTTTCAGAGATGTCGTTTCGTGGACGTCCAGGGTCCATGCTGCTCAGTTATGTCTACTGAGCAGATTCGAAGCTATGCCGTTGGTCGAGAAGGAGATTTCTGCGTTTCGCGCTTACGTTGAGGTAAGACCAACTTAATGTTATACATAATACATATGTAGGCATAGGGCATTATCCGATAAGCGGATACTGCGCGTCATTTATTATTGGGGTGCCAGCCCAATAATTATCCAATAATAAATTGACTTCCATATTGAGTGGTTCCCATGAGCTAGGGAACATATTCGCACTTACTGCGAATCAAACAAAACCAAAAATAAAACAGAGTTATATTTACGAGTTAATTAAGGGTGCTTCCTCAACGCCCTTTTAGTGTAAGACGGTAGCGGGCACTTTTCCCATTTAAATTTCGATTGGAGTCATACAGCCTGAAGTGTGTTAAAGAAGCAGTCCACAAAGTTCCCGGCGTTCTTTGGGTCTCTTAAGCCGGGCGGTGGTCAGCAATACGGGTGCGAGCCGTGAACTATAGTTCCTTTAGACTCGCAAAGGTCCGTACAGTGTCGCAAAGATCGGCTATTAAAGTACAGAAAAAATTATTTATTTTTGCTCGGCAGCTACGATGGCGCCAACCTGAAGTTGAGCGTCAGAGAAAATGCAACGCGCAAGTGAGTTACCCATGCTACCACACTATAAAAATCGTAAATGTCGCCCAACGTTTGGGAAAGAGATGACTAAAAAGGCGCCGGACCATATGATTTTTACCATATTTTGTAAATAAAAATCGAGCAACCCGACAGCTGGAAAGTAAGTTTCCGCATCGTCGGCGTTTGGACGCTGGCGTACTTGTATCCATATCTTCCACTTCAAACGGGGTCTGGATTTTTCTACGGAGGAATGCCATAAGCATTTCGATGTCGCTGAATGGTGTCGATTCCGAATACAGACGGTATACTCTTCCCTCCGCCGCGTTTCTTGATCATCCAGACCGCGCTGTCAGTCCTAAAATGTTCCTTGGCGTGGCTCATGTGGGTTAGCTAGTGAATAGCTTCCGTACCGTACCGAACACGGAAAAGCCACACTCTGATGCTTTCTGCTCGTAAAGAAAAAGAAATTAATCGACGTTGTCGCTTTGTCATACATGTCCTTGATCACTGTTTGGAGCGTTCGATTCCATGCCTTCTCCCCTTGTGCTCCGAGGATGCAGGCTTGTTTAAATAAAGTGAGTAGTCCTACGCGCTCTGCCCTGGTCAAGCGAGGATAACACGTTGCCACTTTACGAGCAATTGGCCTTGCTAACCGCGAATTAATTCAATGTCCTTGTGTATATCACTTGGGTGAAGTGAAGCCAGGAATCGAGCGGACCCTGGTCGGGGTGGGCCTTCGATTCATCTGCTAAAGCTGCATGAAGACCACTACAATAGGGGCCTCGGGGTAGTCCGAAGTGCTCCCTACGCTCTTCGAGAAAGAGTGGATCCCCGGATCCGGTCGGTCGCCCCGTAATAAACTTCTGCGCCCGGTTGGTTACCCGCAATGGTGCCCGTCCGGGCTGCACATGTTGTCAAGACAGTTATGGCGGATAAGTCCTTGGATGAGTGGCTGGAAGGAACTCGTTCCCCGTTCATGTCCAATTTAGCATCGGATTGGTGCGGGTCCGACGCCATCCAGTCGTTGTCCCTGGCCTTCTGCGGAGATTTAGAAAATTTTGAGTCTCAAGTGGCGCTGGAGGTGGCACTGACCGTATCGGATCGTCACCATTGTCTTCCGTCCCGTTGTCAGTAGGACACCGGGCTGTTTCAAGACACCAGTGTCAGTCGGTAGCCGGCTTTGCGCAGCCCTCATGACCGACGGGAGACATCTCCTGGGTACTAAAATGTCTACGGACTTTTTAAAAATCTTGTGAACGATAACGGAAAATAGACAGTCATTTTTGAAAAAAATTAGGCGTTAGAACTCCTAGCCAATCAGACGTCCTCGATCGCATTAATCAGGCCAGTAGCTGTCCTTGTCAATGTCAGAGCGAGCAGAGCGACTATCCGGTCTCCAAAATGGTCTTGTGGGCTCTGTTGCCGGCATGATCGAAGTGGTCTTACAGCAGCCGACTGTGGCTATGAAGAACGCGGTGCAGCAGGGTCGTCCCATCCAGTGGTCCCCATGGGCACTCTACCGCGGTGTGGGCGTCTCGCTGGCCTCCATCGCACCCGTGACCGCCCTCCAGTTCGCAGTAAATGGCCGCTTGCTGCGTTGTTTGACGACATCAGGAAGAGCACCCTCGGACCAAACTAAACTGTTGTGTGGCATCCTGTCCGGCATCTCGTCGGCGGCGGTTAGCGCGCCCGCGGAGCTCATCATGACGCTCCAGCAGAACAATGAGAAGAGCTTTGGGGCTACCCTCAAGGATGTGGCTCGAGCTCATGGCGTGATGCGACTGCTAAGAGGATTCACAGCGACGGCTGTGCGAGAAGCGGTTTGGTGCGCTGGGTACTTAGCGCTGGCCCCAGTCTTGACGCGTGAGACGCACAAATTGTGTCCCGCCACTTTTGGCCATGTGGACAATGCTACCAAGTCGCAGAGGGCGATGGCCTCAATTGCCGGCTGCATTGCTGCCGGTCTCATCACTGTGGTGGCTACTCAGCCCGTGGACACGGTTAAGACCGTCATGCAAGGAGAGGCCATGACGCTGCCCTCGGGTCATGCGCCCAGCACTCTTGCTAGGGTTACGAGTATCTACCGCAAAGGAGGCCTCCCTCGATTCTATCGCGGCATCGTGCCGAGAGGATGCCGCTTGATCGGCGCCGTCTTCATCTTAGGTCAATCGCGTACATGGCTCGAGGAGATTATCGAGGAGCACGCGCTACTCAACTTTTAGGCGCACATATAGTAAATAATAGAGCTCCCATCACACAATTTTTCGCTGCCGTTAGGCTACACTTTAACATGTCTTAATATGGCGAAACGATGTCATTTTATTGATGTCAGAATCGCTGACAGTCCATGTCTGATCGTTGCTACTTCACTCATGTATCAATTGCGGCGCGGCCCATCACTTTACAATGTTGCATGGGTCGCCGCCAGGATGATTGTGATGAACATCCAGCAGTCCCTTTGTACTTGCCAGGAATGCGTGCAAAGGGTCGCTCAGTGCTGTATCGGGGTCGGTGGTGTCTTCGCCACCAATTGACACCTCCTTAGCACGGTTAAACCAAGTCAAGGTGTCAGTCTCCGGTGTAATCGATGCAGCGATTACAAAGCTTCTACGCTGCGACAAAAATAAGCAGGGTTTCAGATTAATGGTGTAAGCTGTGGAGGAGACCTAAGAAGTGGCAAAACTTGCACGGGTCTACCCGGCCACAGCATTACGTGGCACTACATGGTATCCAGGCTTATTGACATTAAAGCCGTTCGATACTCACGCAGGAGGCGCATCGGTTGAGACCATAGATGTTCGGTCACGATAATACAGCGCCGCTTTCGTTACAGGATGTCTGACTGCTGGCTTTCATGGTTCTTCTGATTATGCAGCTAGTGATACGACAAATTGTGGGATGTGGTCCGAGTATGATTGCTACGGCAGCTTTTTTGTTTACGGTGACAAAGACTTCTTGGCATATTTTTATCTTCAACGACACCGATTTAGCCAACACCTACGACAAACCCAAGGACGCCGACAAACAGTCATATTTTTATGGCAGACGTCATTCAGATAGCATACAGCACCAGCTTTACCCATACATTCATCCTTAGAAGTGGGTCGAGTTCATACCGACAACATCAAGTGAACACTCTTCATGTCTTAATTGTTGTTGCAAGGCTTACGCAACTGGGTATCTAATCGTCACGCTGCCGTCGTACATCTACCAGGATCTGGACTAATGCTACCAGCTACAGGTGTGAATGTTCTTTCTAACGAGCGGCTGTTCAAGATCGCAAACGTACTATTTACTCGGGTCCGACCTGATGGCCACGCGGTGTGTCACTAGGCTGCGTCATTGATCCTTCATTGTGCTGTCTGAGCATAGAAGTAGCGATCGCGTTTCTAAATCAGACACTTCATCGCATGCGCAAAATTTCGAGTGCATATTGCGACGTCGATGGAGACGAGTCCTATCCCACCCGCACCTCGTGACGTGTACAGCAGGCCTGGATTGACATCGTGTCTGTTGTGTCTGTGACGTGAAGTGATGCCACAAAAATTGCTATTGTACGTTGTGCAAGACATTATCACGCACGTGTTCCCAAACAACGCTGAATTCGTTGGCCGAGCCTGGAAAGTATTATGGTGGATCGCTTGCTCCGTCTGCGTAATCACGCCTGGCGATTAGCGGAACAGGAGTATCCATAAGCAGGAAAGTGCGTCCACGAGCGGAAGTTAAGCAAGTCACGTTCTTTGCTAATTCCGAGCGGTCGCTATCAAGGAACAAAGAAGAGATATGGATGTGGACAATGGTGTTTACCTCCGCCTAGCAACGGAAATGTTCCAAGACACCAGTGTCAGTTGGTAGCCGGCACTGCACAGCCCTCGTGACCGACAGGAGACATCTTTTGGGTACTAAAATGTCTACGGACTTCTTGAAAATTTTGTAACCATAACGTTAAATATGATAAGTAAGTCACCTTGCGCTCATTGCAGGGTCCGAAAGACCGCAGCTGTAAATAGCACTGCTGGTAGTAGATAGCATTCAGTAGCAATGTTCTAATGGAAACGCTGGCTGAAAGGCTTGTCACTGACTAGACGCTTTGACATTTAATATCCGTAAAGTCCAATATGCGTCAAGCAGGTACCCTAAATATTTGGTCGTTTGATTTTGGGGAAGGACTGATATTCTTTCATTATCAATGATTGCGATCGCTGTATTGAGGAAGAGCTGTGCGCTCCTCGCCAGATGCACAGATAGCCCGGAGAGCTCTTCGCCGGCTGCACTGATAGCCCGGAGAGATCTTCAAAGCGATGCACGATGCACGTTACCCCCGGTATCTACCCCGCATGGTGTTTATAAAACCGTTGAATCATAGACAAAAATAAAATCTCTATTCCTGGTTCGGAATGCCCGGGGTGCCGTAGCCTTCTTATCTGGATACTATGCATTAGTGCTATTGCATGCATTTCCGCTATGAAAAGCAAAAGTAGTGGTGCTAACAGGCAACGCTGTCGGATGCCTGTAAGCACGGGGATCGGGTAGAATAATATCCCATTTACTACAAATCGAGCGGTAGTGTTGTGGTAGAAGTTCAAATCATTGTAATGAAAGAAATCGCAAACCTGAAAAAACGCTAACCTCAAATAACAAGTCGCGCGAGACCGTATGCAAACGTAGCAACATAAAGTGCTCGGCTATCACGAGGACTGTATTGCCTCACTAAAGCAACGCTATCGGTTGATAATCATTTCGTCCAGTATAATCATCCTTCTTCCGGAGCGGAATACGAAATTAATAACGTTGAAGCGTTCAGCGACCACCGCACCATCCGCTAGACACATTGTCATGCTCAATTTCCAATTTTACTGACGTAACGATAAGTATAACAGTAATAGTACCTAATACCTTTCTTGTTCTCCTAGTTTGAAGTTTCTTTGCTACATGATGTAATCGCGGTCTCGTTATAAGACCCAGCATCGTGCTGGTACCGTTGTCCAAAGTAACGTCGCGGTTTTATCAAGAAAAATCTTGACGAAATTATCACGTCAGCACTTATGTGAAGTATGTGACTTTGAAGGATATGTTCACAACGACTTTACAAATGTTACATAAACTTGTAGAGAAATTTATAAAATGCGCCCAAAACTGCCAGTTGTACATACGTTTCACTAATTTGTATAGTGTGAATCACGTTTTTCAAAAGAAATCATACCTTCTCGGCCTAATGGCTAAGATCAAGTGTAGTATCTGTTCTAATCAGTGTGAAAACTGGTTTCCTGACTTTTAGTCGGGGATTTTTCACATTCATTTTTGAAAATTCCATCGACACTAGCTTGCTAGTGTCGACGGAACGGTCTCCGGGGGCTTTCACAATCTCCCCCGCGAGGCCAACCACTACACCTCTTCTTCTATTCTAAATCAACTTATATTATTATACCTGTTAGTAATACCTTCTCGGCCTAATCGCTAAGATCAAGTGTAGTATCTGTTCTAATCAGTGTGAAAACTGGTTGCCGACTGTAAAGTCGGGAACTTTCACATTAATTTCTGCATCTCTTTCTATAACTTTCTAGCTTGCTAGTTACGCATAGATAGGTCTCCGAGAGGTTACACCCTTTCTCTCGTGAGACCGACTACTACACTTGCTTGTTGCCTTTCTTCGCCCTCCGACCCTTCACCAACGCATCTTGGGATGCGCTTCTGGTGGCCGGATTGGCAGCCTCGAGAGCGCTCGCTGTCTTCCGACAGCGAGTGCTCTACGGCCAGCCACTCTAGTCTCGCCAGCGATGCGTCTTTTTATAGCGCGGATGCTGACGCAGAGATTAGAGCGGCTGACGACTCTTTGGGGTGGGACGGTCCACTAGGGGTCGGGTTACCCATTGTGGATCCGCTTGCCCCCGTTTTGGACTCGGACGAGTCCCAAAATGAGTCTTTTGGCGCCTCTCGCGGGGCGCCATATCTCGGCGCCGACGGCGCCTCAGACGGTGCAACTTCGGGCACGGGTATATCACCTGCGGCGCCCATTGCACAGGCAACGACAACACGTGGCGACCCCTCGGGCGACCAGGCGCCAACCCGGTCTTCGAGCGCGACCTCGCGTCGTTTCGAAGATCGGGCAGCGGACGGACGTCCGCTCGGCCAGCCAATCAGCACGCCTGGTCCTCTTATACTCGGTTTGAGTATAGGAGGAGGGCCACGTGGCGAGAATTCTCTCCCCTTCGCCTCCACTGCCAACGGCCACGATGGCCTCGCGCCCCCTATACTTGGTCTAAGTATGGGGGAGCTGCAACCACCTTCGGCCGGCTCCCCAGTCGTCGGTTTGGACCTCCCGGTCCCCCAAGCGCGCCGTTCGGCTGGCCAAGACCTGTGCCTCGCCTCTCCCGCCCTTCAAGCGCGCCGTTTGGCTCTCGAAGACACCGCGATTGTTGAGTTGGCACCCGGCAGGGCGGCAGGCATGCTGCCCGACCCGGTAGGCCCGGGGTACGCTGGCTAGCGCCCCCAGCCCCCAACAAGCCACCAAGCGCGCCGTTTGGCTGTCCAAGACCCTCCTTCGGCCTCACCCGGCCCTCAAGCGCGCCGTTTGGCTGCGGAGACCAGCGATTGTTGTTTTGGCACCCGGTAGGGCGGCAGGCATGCTGCCCGACCCGGTCGTGCCCGGGGTAGCGCTGGCTAGCGCTCCCCAGCCCCCAACAAGCCACCAAGCGCGCCGTTTGGCTGTCCAAGACCCTCACTTCGGCCTCACCCGGCCCTCAAGCGCGCCGTTTGGCTGCGGATGACCCAGCGATTGTTGTTTTGGCACCCGGTAGGGCGGCAGGCATGCTGCCCGACCCGGTCGTGCCCGGGGAAGCGCTCGCAGCCGCCACGGCTCGCGCTCTGGGTGTTGCCCATGGCCCCAGCGACCTCGAGGGCGTCCTTAGCGACGACGAGGACGCCTTGGACGACCCCGTCGACGCTGCCAGCCCCTCGGAAGTCCTGGCGAGTGTGTTGCCTTCACCCGAAAGGGCAGGTGGCATGCTCAGCGAGCGCGACGAGGGCGCGTCAGCACAGGAGCTCAGCCTTCCAGCCCATGCTCGGCCTACTGCTAGCCAGCAAGACCCTGTGCTGACGGTGTACGCGCACAACGCCGCTGCATTCACTTGCGCGGTGTGTGCGCACACCTGTCGCGACCTCGCCGCGCTCGCAACTCATCGTCGCACAGCGCACCGTGACACCTGCTTCGTGGACCATTTCCACAGCGGGTGCACGTGCGGCATCGGCTTCAGGTCGCGTGCAGCGGCAACGAAACATGCTATGGCGTGCAAGGACAGCTCCTATTTCGCCGCCGCCGCTGCACGCGACTCCAGCCTCTGTTCTCCTCTTTTGCCTGAATCGCGCAGTGAGGTGGCCCCAACCCCTACAGGGCCCCTCAGCGCGGCGGTACTTGCAATTACAGCAGACGCATCAAGCGCCACTGTAACAGCAGGTGCCGCCAACACACAGAGCATCGTGCCCGCCGCTCCTGCTTCTGCTGGGCACCAGTACGTCCCCCCCGGTCGGTGCCCAACTCTCTCACCTCCACAGGTCCGGGTCGCCGGGAAGCGCCGCCGTTTGAACGATCCTGATGCTGAGCTTCCCAGCCCGGACCTGGATGTTGTTATGCAGGTTACAGATGGAGTGATGGACCAAGCCTCTGCTCAAGCAGCGTCCCTGCCCAACGCTCCACGGCCTTCTTCGCAGTGCGCCACGGCGCAGCAGACTCGTTGGGGACCCCGGCTCTTGACAGATGATGCGACAGCTCCGACCCTGGCAGTGCGAAGACCACTGACACCTGCCGCATCGGGCACTGGTGCCACGCGGTGGGGGCCATGTCACCGCGCGATCGGGGCCGCCGCTGTTGCCCATCTTGTTACCGGGGAACCCACTATTCCGGCACCATCCACTCGACCTTCCTCGCTGCCTGCTCCACGACGGACACTCACGCGCTGGGGACCACGGGTGCTGGTGAGGATGCCATCGTCAGGGCGTCGCTTGGGCACCCGAGGGACTCCATCGCTGACCAGCTCATCTGCCGCAGTCAGCTCGGAAGCTGCCTCAGCGCACCCGCCGGCTCTACCTCGACCAAGTCCAAGCGCTCCCTCGCTCACTCGGGCAGTAGAAGTTCCTTCCGAGGACCACGAGCCATGGCTTTTGCGTTTTGACGGTGCCTGTCGGCGGAATCCTGGACCAGGTGGTGCGGGGGCGGTGCTGTTCGACTCGGGCGGCACGGTGGTGTGGACCTGCTCCCATTTTCTCCCCTCCAGCAGCGAGACCAATAATACGGCCGAGTATACGGCACTGCTGCTGGGTTTACGGAGTGCGGTGCAACATGGGGCCACGCGGTTGCTGGTCGAGGGCGACAGCAACCTGGTGCTCGCCCAGGTGCGCGGCTCCTTCTCGTGCAATAACCGACGGCTTCGGAGGCTGCGTAATAGCGTGCGCCAGGAACTCCGGCGACTGGAATGGCACAAGCTTCGCCATGTCGATCGCCAAGCCAATTCTCAGGCTGATCGTCTGGCTAACCGTTCACTCGATCTTCAGCGCACCGCTGTGGAGTGTGGTCACCACTCGGGAGACATGCTCGGCTGTTTCCAGCCGAATACTCCGCCTGCTACCGACTTGCCGGCTCCAGTGAACACAGGAGCTACGTCTGTTTTTAGCGATGAGTCGGGGGTGGACGACGATACGATGGAGGTTGAAGCTGAGATCGCAGCGCGCGATGGCGAAGTCTTTCCAACGCTGCCCATTGGCCCAGGCTCGGCTCCAGCGCGACAACCTCGTCTCCGGCTGCGTCAACTCACCGAAGAGGAGCGGGATGCCGCCGCGGATGCGCTCCAAACGTTTGCAGATGGCATGGCGAGCAGAATTACTGACGCGGATTGCTGGGCCACAGGGGAAGGTTATATCAGCGCGATCCCGGATCGGATTCGTGAGGTACTGCTACAATTTTCTAACGCGCCTCCTCCTGCTTCGGCTTCACCAGCTCCTAGCACGACTCAAGCGTCGTCCCGTCGCCGGCGCCCGCCGCGGGTGACACGGTCTCAGCGTGAGCACCGCTTGGATGAAGCGCTCGATGACTTGCAGACAACGCAGCAAGCGTCTCCGGCGGACCAGCGGGCAGTTCGCAAGGCACGTCGGCGAGTTGGAAGGATTCGTTCGTCAATGGCTCAGCAGCAGCTTCGACGTGACTTCGCTCAGGACGAGGCCAAGTGTGTGACCAAGCTTCTGGCGGACGCCTCGGTGGACACGGCCGGCGAGGAGCACCCAGATACGTGTCCCATCGATCGCGAAGAGATGCACCGCTACTTCACCGGCACATGCACGGAGAGGGTGCCGTTCGACTACGATGCTCCGCAAGGTCAAGAGTTCCGGGCGGCGTTAGACGTTTACACGCCTGCGTTGTTGGAAGCGGATGCCCTCGACGAAGAACTGTCGATGGATGAAGTGGACTGCGGCTGGATCGCCTGATCCACCGGATCGCGCTCTCCGGTAATCGGAACTAGCTTCGAAAAAAGAGATCGCCTTGCTTGAATCTCCCGATCATGATCCCATTCCAACAGCACCTGTGAGTCAAAAGTTACAGCGTTGAATCCAGCATTTTGTAGCAACTCCATAAGCCGACGGATCGCTTCCAGCTGATTCGGTTTTCTATTGGAGCTGATACTGTCCTTGCAGTGATCCGATTAGCTTTGGCTTCATAATTTTGAAAACTGGATTGCTCAATAGCAAAGTCTTTATCTCTTTCCGGTGAAAACACCGTTCCAATTCTTCCATTTTCGTCGATCTTTCGGTTTTCGATCCGTGATCGGCCGACTCTTTTCCTTGGGCACCACAATCTTTCGATTTCTTCGTCCGAACGTCGAGTTGTGATCGTGGTGCCTTCATCCGCGCCTGTGATTTCTTCGACTCTTTCTTCTTAGGTTTTGCAGGAATGGTTTTCGATAAATTTCCTTCAGTTTTAACCGTAAGATTTTTATCCAGCGGATCGCGTTTTGAAACGTGATCCGCAGGGTTCCCCGAAGGGACCTGAAGAGGGGGTAGAGTTTTTTCTTCCAGATCAATCTCTTGATCTTCCTCTTTGATTTTTTTCATCTGCGCCCCTCCCAAAACGCTGATGATCCGGAGATCTTTTTTCTTCACACGTCTGCGGTGATCCCTTTGCCACTGACGCTTCAATCCCAGGTTCAATTTTGACCTTTACATCTTCTCTCAGGAACTCACGGTGAAATCTCGAGTCACCAGAAGATCCGGGCACGCGCACCATTGTGGTGGAGTGGAGTTCGCAAAATTGCTGATGCGATCTCAACTCTCCACTGGCGCCCGGACGACCGACTAATGGAGGGGGTACCCCGATTCCGTGCGCAAAGCCTTCCTCACCTTGTGTACCCGTCGGTAGGGCGGGTTGCTCTCTTCTCGGTAGACTTGAGTCGATGTTGATCCTAATCTAGTTAGGGATTGGGGGTTTGGTTATCTTGTGGAAATCTTCACAAGATCGACCGAGTATTTGTTTGTTGATCTCTCCAATAGATCCCAATAGTCCAATAAGACGAAGCTTGAATCTTCTGACCACATGAGCAGAACCTTCTGACCACTTGATCCGTCCTGCACTTTCTTCGCCTTGCCCTTACTTGTTATTTCTGAGTCCGATCGCATTCGAGTTGTGTTGTGAAATCCTTCCCCTGGCCAAAACAATCCAGGGTGTACTTGTAGTCGATATTCTCGGCTTCGGGAGGCCAAATATCCTGCCCGGAATAGAGAAATCGACACGTGTATTAGAAGTAAAATTAAAATCTGTTTAGTGTTAACCAATCAAATATCAAAACCTACGATTTTGCCTATCTGTAGTCCAGGATCTATTACCACATGCCGTCCTTTCAAAAAAATCAGATCTCGATATGTGGTCCACTCCAGATACCTTCGCCATCCCGATCCACTGGCGATCTTGCCTTATTCTTGGGCCTTATTCTTGGATCGCGATCTGAATCAGATTGCGTATTAGTTCAGGATCGTGGTCGATCCATAATGCGTGACTCTTGGGAACTGTATCGCGATCTACTTCGGATCGCGGCTCTGAAGTGGATCGCGGTTCTGAGTCAGATCGCGGTTCTGAACTGGATCGCGGTTCTAAGTCGGATCGCGTTTCTAAGTCGGATCGCGTTGTCTGCACAATGGATCGCAATCGAACCTTGATGCGTGGTCCACATAACTTGGATCGCGATGTTTACTTTACAAAAATTTGTTTACTAGCTCCTCCACAATCCGCTGTGGACATATTCAATAGGGTGCCTAGCACGAGGAAGACGGACTTTTAAAATTTACTCGTAAAACGAGGATCACGATCAGAAACAATTGCCACTGGTAAGCCATGTTGGCGAAACACTCGGTCGTTAAATAGCTTTGCTGTACCTTCACTATCGATCGAGTCTGGCACAGCCGCTAAGTAATCCATCTTGCTTAAACGGTAAAAAAGACCACAATACCTGTGTTGCCATGCGAATCTTTCGGTAGGCCAAATACAGAGACCATACTAATTGTCTCCCAGCACCCAGTGGGAATAGGCAAACTAGTCAGCGGCTCTGTCGAATAAGGTGAGGGTTTCGCCCGTAGACACGTTTCACACGTACGCACATGTGGCGGAGTGGATTCTCAAACGACGTGAGAGAACCACAAACAAACACAGCGCCGGACTGCCGACTTACGGAAGAGGTACCCCGATACCGTGTCGCGTCAACCTTGGGTCTCACCTTGTGTACCCGTCGGCTTGGCTGGTCTTGCTCCTCGGTTGACGCAGAAGACTTAAAGACTTGGTCTTTGTATAGAGAGACTTGGTGGTCCCCGAGTGGATATACTTCACTCGGGCCCAGGGTTTCTTGGGCTCAATCGACTGTGTCGAGAGCAATGCACCTGGTACTATGTACCCCTTTCGGGGTCTAAGTGTTTCTTGGTACTTGGACCCCTTTCTCTTGTTCCCCGTAGGGAAACCGCTTCCTGTAGCGGGTCGCAGAGTCTTGACACCTCAGGCCAACTATCCTGAGGTTCAACTTGCGTTGCTTGAGCCGTCTAACACCTCCTGACGTCGGGGGGCCAAAGGGTATCCCGCCCGGAATAGGTAAGGTAACGGAGAAGAGCTTGGAGAGGGGCGCTTAAAGCTGCCACGTGTAAAGCAAATTCGAGTGTGTTTATTTATCTTATACTTTGTATGCTTTTCTTGCCTAACCCTAACCCTTCGCTCTGGATGGTACCACGTGTCAAGTTGTGAAAGATTCACTGGCTCTTTTAGCACATGGGACTTGTACCGGCTCTGCACTTTAGAGAAGCCTTGTACCTTCTATAACCTGGGGTCACCGGGGCACATGGGGCCTGTGTAACATTGTGCTCAACCGGTCCTCTGGTGTCCACCGGTCTCCTGGGTTCACCTGTCGCCTGAAGTCCACCTGTTACCTGGCGTCCACCGGTCACTTGGGGTCCACCGGTCACTTGGGGTCCACCGGTCACCTGGGACCACCGGTCACCTGGGTCCACCGGTCACCTGGGTCCACCTTTCACCTGGGTCCATCTATCACCTGGGTCCACCGGCCACCATGAGTCATCCTGGTCCACCTTGAGTGCCGGGACCTTCTTGGGGCATGGTCCACCTTGGGTTGTGGTCCACCTTAGATCATGGTTCACCTTGAGTCCTGGTCCACATTGGGAACGTGGATGCCCTCGAGACACTGGACCTTTGGGTTCTTGGACTTGTGCCGGCTCTGCACTGTAGGGCAACTTGGCACTTCTCCAAGTGACATCAGGACCCTAAACCTTCGATACCCCTGTCCCCAATAACTGGCACCTTGTCCCTGGCGACTGGCACCCTGTCTTCGGTAACTGGCACCCCTGTCCTGGCAACTGAAAACCCCGTCCCCGGTAATTGGCACCCCTGTCTCTGGCGACTGAAAATCCCGTCCTCGGTAATTGGAACCCTGTCCCCGGTAACTGGCACCCCTGTCCCTGGTGACCCTGGGCTGAACCTTGGAACCTTGCGAGACGTAATCATAGTCATTCCCCCGAGGGAGTGACCTGGATTTCTGTCCCCTTTATTACGATGTCCTCACGGGCCCGGATTCTCCTGGCACTTCCCACAGCTGTCCCCTGCGCGCTGGTCATCCAAACTGCGGCAAGACCCCGTGCATCCTTGTCTTGTCTTCTAGGCGTAGCAGTAGGTGTCCATATGTCTGATGACCAAAAGTATTTACCTTCTCACAAACCCTTTATTTTCCAGTGACCTTTCTCAATTCTTCTCCTAACGACTCAGCACCTGACCTTCGTAAATTTCTTTACACGTATCCATCGTAAATCGATAATCCCATTTCATCTCCATTTCATCTCAATAGTATACTCCAGATATTTCTTCTTTAAGTCATGTCTTAGATGATGCACCCGGGGTCCTCTGAAAGCTAACAATACTTCGCACTTTTCCTGTGCTGTCGCTTTCTCGAATTAACTAGACCAAGTTCTGTGCATGCAACAAATACCACCTCCTTCTTGCATCATCTTGGCCTTCCCAAGATGTACTTCCCCCTCTACTTCTCATGACTCTGCATCACCTCAGAGTGACGCAGAGAAATGAGGAGTAAAGGGGAGAGTTCATTTATGTGACTTGCCTGCGTCTGAGTGACTTGCCTGCGTTCATAGTCCATAAGTAGTCCACCGCAATTGAGGTCCACCTCGTCTACCCGCGACGGATCGAAGTATCCTTTCCACTGCACCAGGTATTCACATTGAATACGACCATACCGAGTTTTCCTTCCCATGCGCTTGTCAAGAATCATCTCCACTTCATACTCATTGTCTTCCAATTCCGCATCCAGCTATCCTCTGGTAACAGGGCTTCGTCAAAATCCACCCGATCTGTTTCGTCCACCACCAACACCGTATTTGGTCTGTCGGGATATTGCCGGACTAACTTCAACTTCGAAAAGTGCACCAACAGGTAAATGCGATAATCTGTTCCACTGATATTCAGGCGAGATGCATGGTCACCCACCATTTCCCGTAATTTAATGGCCCATGCCATAGGTGGGCCAATTTTCGGGCATAGCCTTCCTTGACCCGGTCTAGATACAGCCACACCTGAGACTCTGCTTCAATTTTGCTATCTGCCACCTCTTCATTGTAAATCTCATCTCGACATTCCATTGCTGATCACAATAATTCGTTGACTTGTTTTCTTGCCCAGCGATACTGTTGCTGTACGCCATATCGCCACCGGCGGGGGTCACAGTCACGCCGTATGGTACTACCCAGCGGTATAGTGGTCTCCAACGTGCTTCGTGCGTCCCAACCGTGCACTAGATAGAACGGAGTCTCCTTTTGGACCCGGTCCTGCGCCGTGTTCAGCGCAAATGTGAGCCGTTCCGCATATGCATCCCAATCTTTCTGGTCCACCTCCGGCACATACATCTTGATAGATCGGATAATCGTCTGCACCA